AGTGACAAAGTTGCCCCTAAGTCTTCTCGAAAGAAAGCTACTTCCTCAATCATTCCTGACTGGTCTATCCTTCCGTCGCAGTGCATTCCAGCATGCTTTGATGCTCCGGATGCTCGTGCGGCTACGTGAGCATAGTGGGTAAAAAAGTTTCCTCCGTTGTTTCTTCCGGAAACCCGCTGTCCTTACGAACGAAGCCTGGCCACCGAGTGCTACCTCCATCGTTACCAATTTCAGGGTTTATGGTTTGAGCTTTCGCCTCTCACACTCGGACAGACTCCAGGTTGGAGTCTGTAAAAGAGAAAGCCCGAAAAGATTCACAAATGGCCGAAAAATAAGGGTTGTTCTTTTTTGTGCGAGCTCTTTTGCCTGTGCCTGGCGACAGCAGATTTAAGATTTCTGGGGAAATAAAACAGTATGCCCGTGCTGATCAGAATGTTGGTTGTTGTGTTGATGGAGACAACGACGACGAGGATGAGGATGAGGATTAGGATGAGGACGAGGATGATGATGATGATGATGATGATAATGATGGTGATGATGATCATGGTGGTGATGACGATGACGGGGATGATGGTGATGATGATGATGATGACGGTGGTGATGACGATCCGCAGAGCGAGACACAGGGTCGCAAGTCACAAACGAGCAGTGCCTGGGTCACAACCTGAGGCATTATTTTGGGTCACGGAACCTGCGCGGGTGGACAGCTCTCTCACCCATGCGCTGCAGAAACTTCTGCTGAATTTTATATCCCACATCTTGGAGTAGAGGCATGACCTGCTGCTATTCCCGCGGCCGCGCATCTGAAAAGGGTTCAATTGCAACGGAAACTTCCCACGTGCTTCGTGCTGCAAGCAACGGCTTGAATTTGGTCAACAGCCAACCCAAGAGCGAGGCGCTGGTCATGAGGCAACCTTTGCACCAATTGCTAGCTTTCAGCTTATTACTGAAGCTTGATTTCAAGCAGGAGTGCACAGCTCCTTCCATCTTTCTGTGGCTGTGGTCGAGTGGGAGTTATCCCTCACCGGCGCTCAAAAGCACAAATTCTTGACACTCACACTGCGACAACCCTTCCCGGTCTCAAACGACTGGAAGGACTGCAAGGGCACGGTGTATCCATACTCCTCTTGCTCTCACGGGCATAGAGCAGCTGCTATTTGTGTTTCTCGCACGAAAGGAAAGGAGGAGGCGAACAGCGCGTGCTGTAGCCTGATGCCCCCGACCGTGCAATTGCAGGCGCCTGTCACGGTAAGCATTGTCTCGAGGGTGCGTTCTATCGAAAGTTGTCTCCGAGCCGCCATGGAAAGCCGACACGAAGTCGGAGGACACATCCAGAAGCCTGCAGCACTTCAGTTGCTGGGCTGCAGGAAGTTCCTGTGTGCTTCGTTCGGCTTCCCTGTAACGTGCACGTGACAGCATCCAGTTGCCGCACCCAGCCGAATCAGTCGGCTCCCCATGCGTGTCTGAGCTTGCGTACCAAGCAACTCCTTGCTGGCTGCAGCACAAAGCCCCGGCACAAGGAGGTCGAAATAGAACCTTGCGGGCAATGCTTGGAGCGCATGCCTTGTTGACCTATTTGCACTTCCTGGCGCCCGAGCCCACTTGACACATGGGACTCGGATATGGCAGCAGAACCACTGGTGCAAATTAAGCCCTTCAGCCTGTATTTTCAACCTCATCTGCGATCAGCTACAATCCGAATGTCAGTTGGGTACCAAGCCACATGTATCACCGAGGTGCGGGGCAAGCTTCCGAGGGCAGCTGTGGAGGATTGCAGCAGCCTTCTCCAACCACTCCTGTGGAACCAAGCTATAGCCACTAGGTATAGCTGAATCTCATATGCCACGCGCTTCGCATGTCTGACAATGGCACAGTCCGAAACTTCTCAGACTGCTTAGACAAAGTGGAAGGTTCCAAAGTCAGGCCTTCACCATATCGAGCCCGGGCATGTGTACAAGACGCTGGGTCAAACAGGCGATTAGCCAATCACCCTGCCGGACGTTCTCCAAGACCTGAGCTTACTGAAGGAACCACTCTGGCTCAAAGAGCCGAAGAGCACCATGACGACATCAAATGCACACTTACTGCTTCAGATGAACGGGACTTGTGAGGAGTTCAGACTCCGTGTGCTGCCTCCTGGCCTCATCCAAGGCTGCGCCTCAGCAGCAGAGCCGGACATGTTGCGCAAGAACCTAGTCAAGTCAACTTCTTGCCCATGACCATTGAAAATAGAACACATAAGTGCTGGATTGATGAAGCGCAGATTCCCATAATGCCGCAGTAAGCAAACGGACCAAAGCCAGGAATATCGTAGGCACCTGCGGCAGAAAACACTTTTGCGATTGCCCCGGCTTGGCTTCAATTCCTATCACGCGGGTCTTGATACCAGGCAATGGTCGCTTCTGCCAGGCACTGTGCTCCCTATGTCTCTCTCCGGATGTAACGATCTGCCTGACTTGAGCCATGGCTTCAGTATCTTTAGTAGAACGTGGCAGCTTCGGAAGGTCAAGCTGCTGCGCCACAAGGGCTGCACTGGAGTCACGTTGTCCTAGTGTCACGCATAGTCACACTAACGAAGCACGCCGCAGGCCCCTGCCTCGCTCGCCGTCCGAGCGATCCCTTTCTTCGGCCTCGCAGGAATACCTTCCCACCAGACGGGTCTAAGCCTATGCCGATGTGAGGCCGGAGACATCGACTCTTGAGCGGCACTGGAAGCCACGAACCCAAGCCAGCAAGTTCAGACAAGCCATGACAAGCCTAATGCCTAATGGGCCTGTGCTCTTGCAACAGGCAGCTCATGCACTTCTGCAGTGACACCGCTGTACATGAACAAGGCACAGCAAGTAGTTGAGCTGATGCAAGCCCAGACCTTGGACGACAAGGCATCTTCACACTTCCGTCAAGGACAACACAGAACCGACGGCATGCTCATTGCCACTCATATCTGGCCTTGCAAAGGTCTCGAGATTTGTTCGGCGGCCAACAAGTTCATCACGGCCTGAACATTTAGAAAGCTACAAGTAACGGACAGCACCCAAAAAAGCTCAAAAGCTGGTTCGCAGCTGCTAGCCCCTTCCCCCCCGCTGCTCGCAAAAGGCTCCACCCACCCCCCTTGCATCAAAAGGCCCCCCCTGCCCCTGCCACAGCACCTCCCTAACCCTATCCCAACAGTAGCCGAGCACTATCACTATCGCTGTTACTGTTACGAAAATGGCTGCCGACCTTGTTACAAAGACTGTTGCCGTTACTGCTCCTAATAATGTTGCTATTGCTGTTACCAATACTGTTGCCATTACGATTTCTATTGCTTTAAGCTGTTGCCACGACCTGGACTTGCTTTACTATCACTACCACTACCACTATCCCTACCGCTCCCCCTCCTCCTCCTACTGCTGCTGCTGCTACTACTACTACTACTACTACTACTACTACTCCCGCTGCTGCTGCTGCTGCTGCTGGTGCTGCTGCTGCTGCTGCGGCTACTACTACATACTAACTTCTACGACGACAAACACTTGCGCGACTACTACCAACCACTACTACCACCACCACGACCACCACCACCACCACCACCGCCACCACGACCACGACAACGACGACGACGACGACGACGACTACTACTACTACGACCGCCTCTGTAACTACACCTGTGACTTCGACTTCCACTGCGACTGCGACTGCGACTGCGACTGTGACTGCTGCTGCTGCTGCTGCTGCTGCTGCTGCTGGCTGCTGCTGCTACTGCCACCGCTACTGCCACCGCTACTGCTGCTGCTACTCGACTTCTACCTCGACTACGACTACGACGACGACTACTGTTACTTCTTCCAAAACTAGTAGCACTACTGCTCCAAAGAATGATGCTGGGGCTCTATGTCTGGGTTGCCAACAAAGTAGAGAAGTAGGGATTCTATAAAGGCTTGCGTGTTGTTATGGGGGAATTCTGGCTGTAAAGCGGGGATTCTGGTTGTAGACTTGGGTTAGACATGGACTCCGGCTGCCCCTACGGCATCCCGCGGCCTTCTGCCGTGCTTGCGTCTTTGAGACCTAGGACGGAGGGGTAGAAAAATTCGAAACTAGTAAACTTCAAACTAGAAACCACATCCAGATCCCCTCTACTCCCTTTTATCTTTGAATCACAGCTGCAGTCGTGAGCTGTTCTTCCTGCCGCGCGGCATCCGTGCCGAACACGAGAACACTGCCAGGAGGGAATCGATGCAGGCGGAGGCGAGAATTGCCTTAGTTTCCACGCAGCCTGCCACAGACCGGCTTAGATGGCGCCGCGTGTGCAAGCCAGCTGCTTCCCTGTGTCCACACAGTTGCGACTTCGTGGACAGAGCCGTAGACGTGCAGATAGCACTCCATTCCTCTTCAGTCAAAGGCTTGGAGGGCTTCGGGACCCATGCTACGTCTCACGCTGCATCACAAGAATGAAGGATCTTGCCTGTAATCAGCTCGCTGTCAGGACGATAGCCATTCTCATGCTGATCTCCGACCTCGCCAGGCCAAGTTGCTTGAGCCGGGCCAACTGTACGTCCACGGTGTTTCCAAGTTTTGCACTCACTGTAATCAGCCAGAGCCACAAACAGAGTTGCTGCGACGTGCAAGTGCGCGATGGTTCCGTCCACCTCCAACTCTTGAGTGCCTCACAGGTTCTGGAACGGCCGGTTCGGGCCTTGAGCCTGTTGCTACATCTGATGCGATGTAGGCTGGCTCGCGGCTCGCTACAGCCATCGCTACAGGCTACAGCCTTGAAGCATGGCACATGCTGCCATCTACTTCAAACGTTTGCGCAGCAACTTGCGCACCGGAGAACGCTCAATCAGCACACGAGCCAAACAAGCACACACCATAGAAGAGTTCCAAATTCTCTCGCAGTGGCCTGCAGGCAAGCCGTCACCCATGCGGTTTCTCCAGAAAGCAGAGCGCACAACAAACCTGATGCTCATAGGACGCAAGGACACTGCGTGGTGCGCGCAGGCTTGAACCCCACTGCTTGCTTTCGCTGGCTGCTTCAACGGGTGAGATGCAATGTAACTTCTGTTGCATCTTCCAGGGCAGCACAGCCGCCAGACCGAGTGTCCGTTGTCCGGTGACCGCCTTTCGATCGCCAGCGTGTCGTCAGCTAAGAAGTGAACCTATGCTGTGGTGCCATGCGATGCCGCCAACGACCTTGAACATACCGAAGCAAATTAGCAGCCGAAGCACGCTGATTTCCGTGTATCCATCACGACCGAGACGGGTGTGGAGCCTGTTGAGAACCTGTAGATCGGTGTTCAAACAGAATGACCCGGAAACGCAGTCGCACATCCAGTACATGTTAAAATTTTACGCTTCTGGCCTGTTTAACCAGCAGAATGCCGGGAAGGTTGTTGACCAACACATCCGGCCCAGAGATGGGACTCTCCGAGGTTGGAGCTGCACCCGGTATACCTCGAGCCGCAAAGTTGGAGCGGCCCTTCGGACTTGCAGGTCGTGTGCAGATCCGACGGTGATCCACAATGATCCACAGCTGCCACACTGCATGGTGCGGCAAATTGCGGCAGAGTCTCGTGAGTCGTAACTCCCATGACGAATCATGTCATGCACTAGCCTACCCTGCAAATTTCTTAAACTGGCATTACAGCTGATATGTGCAGGTCAAGTCGCTTAACACGTTGTTCTCATTGTGGTGTTCGTCCTGAAACGGGTTCGATCTGACAGCACATGCGGGGATATGGCACAGAATCTAAACCCCCAACACGTGCATGAGGCATGTCTGGTCCTGGGCTAGGGGCAGCTTCCTGTTGATCGTCCAGGTGTCATCGACAATGAACTTGTACTGCAAGGGCAGCTTGCTAACCTGCGAAGGATGTTCATGTTGGAAGTCCGAGGCGTGCTGGAGGCGTTTTTCTGTTTCTTTCAACTTGCCGTACCTTGCTGCCGCAGCCCCTTAGAATGTTTTGAGCGAAGCTAGTTACCTTCGAGTCAGGTCGCTTCAAATCCTCTAATGACTCTAATGCATTTCAAGCTTTGCGGCCACAGCACCGTCCCCTGCGGCTTTTGAAAGAAATAGCCGGCATTCAGAGAGAAGCCTAGACGTTCTCAGTTTGCAGCAAACAATTACGAAGAGCTTCAATCGAAGAAACGAACCCGGTCGCACAGGCATCCCCCGATCCTTCATGGGGCGGGGGGGGAGGCAGAAAATGTACAATGCACTTGCCCCTCTCCCACAGCCCAGAATATGCAACAATGTAGGATCGCATGTTCGCTGCGTGTTCATGCACATCCAAGCACAACTCGGTACGAGATCTGCGGGCCCTCTCTTTTTTTGAGCTGCATCGCACATATGTGGTTGGGCGAAACGTGGACTAGCCTCCGAGTGAAAAGGGGGGTTTGCCAAAACTCCATTTTTCGGATCGAGCGGCGGGATTACAAACCCCCTCTCTCGGTTCGAATACGGGGGTCCCCCGTTTTCGTTTCGAGAACCTTGCTTTGGGCAAACCCTCATTCTCGGCTCGAAAAAGGGGGATTTGCCAAACATCCATTGTCGGCTCGGGACAACTGATGCTCATGATGCTCGCGAGCTTGGGAGTCCAAAGCTATAAACATGATAGGTTCACGAGCTTAGCGTTCGTCATTTCGGGCAGCCGGTTGAAGGGTTTGGCTGGCCACTTTCGCAGCACGTGGCCCAACTGATGCTCGCGATGCTTTCAGCTTTGAAGTCCAAAACACAAGTATCAAAGGATCACCAGCAAAGCTTGGCGATCCTTTCATGTCGGGCAGCCGCTTGGGGGTTTTGCATACCCGACAAGCAAGGTTTGCCAAACCCCCAATTTTCGGCACGAAAAGTGTGGTTTGACAAACCCCCGTTTTCGGCTCGAAAAGCAAAGGGTTGGCCACCCCGCATTTCGAGCCGAAAACGGCGGTTTGGCAAACCCCATTCTCGGCTCGAAAAGCGGTGTTTGCCGGCTTCCTAAATCAAAGCATAACCTGCAAAGCCGGGTTAGCCGCTGGCCGGGGTTTGGCAAATCCCCATTCTCGGCTCGAAAAGGGGGTGTTTGTCGAACCACAAGTTTCGGTGGGCCGGGGTGGGGCGTTGTGACAACGCCTGTCCCTTCAGGTTGCCTCGTGAAATGATTGGCACCGGAATTCAAAAGAGCAGAGACAAGGGGGGAAAGCAGCATTTGTAGCTAAAACCCCCACTTAATTATCGGGCCGAAACCCTCGACTTGTTGGGGCAGGTGCGGCCACTGTCGCCTTGAAATTGCGGAGTGTGGCCTGTTATGAGTGAGTGATTGCGTGAGTTTCTGAGAAAGAGTGATTGATATTTGCAACGCTCCTATTTTGCTGGAGCCAAAAGTACCGTGTAGCAGGACATACCTGTACCATCCCATTTAGGGAGGTACGTGTCCGGAATCACCCCTCCTGGGCGGAGACGATTCAGCTGACGTCCATTTAAGGACACTGTACACTATACAACAGCTTTTGCTAGGCCGCTTCTACCAGAAACTACTTCGAAGCCCATCCGTTTCAGGTGTTGCTCGGCACATTCCGCTGCTAACGATTTGGTCAGCAGGTCGGCTGTGTTCAGTTTAGTGTCGATCTTGAAGAGCTCGAACTGTTTGCTCGCCAGCTTTTCTTGGATCCACAGGCACCGTGCCTGCACGTGCGGGGACTTACCCAGCCCGAGACGGTTGCATGTGCCCAGCGCCGCAGCGCTGTCAGTGTGCACCTGGAGCTTGACGTTCAAGCCCCATCCACGCAGCAACTCGTGTCTGCAGGCACCCTCCGAAATCACCGTCCGCGTGGACCGTGACCACCTCACTGAACTTCTGCGGCGCAAACCTCTGCACCAAATGCATGGTTCGTTTCAGATACCGAGCTATCCTCTTGAGGTCTCCGAAGTTTGCTTCCGTAGGGCTTTGCATCTTCCGTGCTAAGCATTTCACGGCCTCAGACAGGTCTGGCCTGTCTTGTGCCAGAAACGCAGCCCGCATGACCAACAAACGGTACTTGCTGATGCGTTCCGGCTCGACAGTAGGCAGTTCCACACGCTTGGCAACGTCCTCTGCCTTCAGCTTCTCGTTTGGGCTCTTGACTGGCTTGCAAGTCTCCATTTCCAAGTCTTTCATGATGATCTCAGCATGCCGTGGGTCCGGTTCATAGGAGATCGTGCCCGACCGCACGTCGAAGCGAACGAGGCGGTTCAGATCACAAAACTCCTGGTTCTTTTCCCCCAGCCCGATGCCCCCGTCGACCCTCAAGTCGTACTTGGATCTGAGCACCTGCTCGACATAGGCTTGTCCTTGGTCGTCTGTCAGGATAAGGAAATCGTCTCCATGAACAAGAAGACGGATCTCCAGCTCCGTGTTGTAGAAGATCGCAGGCCACGCTGGGCATCGCTCAAACCCAGCAGCGATAGCTGCAGCGTCTCTCGTGCCCTACATGGACTTGAGCAGCTTGCCCACCATTCCCCGCGTGCGGTCTCCCTCTCAGGTAACGTCACGAGCACATCTCTGAGCCTTCCCGTAGAAGTGAGCTCTGGATATGTCGATGAGACGCAGCTTCAGTGGCGCTCGACCTTCAAAGTAACCAGGAGGGCGAGCAGCAGCTTGACGGCCTCCAACGGCAGCATCGCGCTAAAAGAGGCATGCTCCGGTATGAACTCGGCGTTCTTCGCCCTCTTCACTTCCCGGCATTCGAGACGAGACCTATAATGGCTCAGGAAGCTTTTCGCACAGGTTCTGTCGCCAAACCCACTCTCCTTTGCGGGCAGCAGCGACCTTGTCCTAGTCCAATTCCGCTTCAGTATTGGACACTGGACCTTCGATAGGGTCGCTTGCTTCCGGGAAACCTTTGTAGATCTCCTCCTCCTCGTCGATGACAGGGGCGGAGTCCGGAACGGGATCCGCGTACCAAAGCTTTCGAAAACTCGCCGTCTTCGACCAACATTGGCCCCGCAATCTCGTAGACGCGCGGGTCGGCCCTGGGCTCCTTGACCTCAGGCTCCTCCCAAGTCCTTGCACCCTTCGGGTGCTCGTGGAGGAAGTACCTTCCGGCCTCGATAGGTCTTGACAGCAGTCCTCAGACGCTTCTTGCTCCATCCTGAGCCTTGCGCCTTGGCCGCAGAGTCCACAAAGTTCTGAAGACTCGCGAGCGGGCCACAAGGCAGACGCTGTTCATCGCGAGGCTCGTCGGGAGGCGGCGGCTCATCTTCGCCTTTCTTGTTCTTCTCCTGCCTCTCGCTTCCCGTGCCGCCGGGCTGCGTTCTTACCCTTGTAGTAATCGGGCCCTCGCCTGCGTGGGCCTTCCTGCTTCTTGTTCGGATCCGTTGCCAGCAGGTCCTCGTCATGCGGCTCCTGTCTCAGGCCTTCCTCGACAGAGGCGCGCCTTGCCCTTATCGCGCACGCGCTCGTCGATAACATCGGTCTCTCCACGACACCTGTCGGCTTTACCCGCCTTTCGCGCGGAACCCTTGGAGTCGTACCTCCGATGCCACTCGGCATCCTTCTCCAACCTGTCGCTTGCACGCTCGTTCACTCCTTCCCGGCGGTTCACTTTTCCCGCCTGCGCCCCTTCTCGGTCTTCCGCGCAACGTGGTGTGTGATCCCGGCAGCACGGTCCGTCGTGGAACGACTGGTCATCCAGTTTCTCCTTGGTAATGACCACGCTCTGCCTTGGCCTGTCGAGCTTCAGCTGGTTTCGCTGCTCCTCCTGCCTCTTTTTCTCGTCCTCGTCCTGTTCCTCCTCGATGTTCTGACGCAGCTTTTCCATAAGGGCCCCACGAAGCATGTTGATGCTACCAGCCGTGATCCCATAAGCTCTTTTGGATGGCTCCTTCGGCTCGCTTGGCTTTGTCTGCTTCGGTGGTGGCTCCTTGGGTTCGCTGGCCCTTCTCTGCTTTGGTGGTGGCCCCGACGGCTCGCTCGGCTTTCTAAGGTCCGGCGGCGGCTTCGGGGCTGAGCCTTTCAAATGCGTCGTGCCCTCAGGCGAAACCATGCCCGAAAATCGCCCAGCACTTTTTTCCTTCGCTCGTTCCACCGCCTTGGCCGCAAAGCGGCGCACCACCGACCTTCCGCGCTCTGCTCAGAGCACGTGTCGCAGTCGGTCCCTGAGCTTTCCGAACCATTTCAGCCACGGAGCCTCGAGGAAGTTTCTTCCTCAATTCGTTTTTGTGCTCCGTGCGCTCCCCAAAGTGCATCTTCTCCCAGGTCTCCTTGGCGGCTTTCCTGCGCTCTTTGCCCTTTTCGGCTTCGGCTCCTCATTGTCGCTTTCCTCGGCACTCGTGTGTCCACTGCTCGGGCATGTCATGCCCCTTCGCGCAGGGATTTCTTTCGCCGTCTGGGCCTTCGCCATCTGGGCCTTGGCCTTCACCGCGTCCTTCGGCCGTGGCTTCGCGAACTTTTGGGCCTTCGGGCTTTTCGCCTTCTTGTCCGGCTCGCTCTTCACTTCTTTTTTCTCCTCTTTCTCTTCCTTCTTTTCCTTCTTCATTCCACTGGGAGGCTTCGGCGGCGCGGCAAGCTGCACGGCTTGCTGCCGAACGCACCAAGGCCCATGCATGCCCGCGAGATCTGGGAGGATTGGGCCCAACCAAGCAAACCAAGCCCGATGCAGGCAGGAAACCCCTCCACCGCCACTTGAAGTTGAAGTTGCAACACTCGCCGCAGTCATACCAGTAGCTGAGACACCAAACTTTTGCAATGACCGTCCGTAGCCATGTCAGTATCTGAGACACCAAACTTTGCGCCGTGCGACGGTGACTGAGAACCAGAGCGCTTGCTATCGAGTCTCTCGATCGCTGCTGCTAACATGGCTCACTTGTCACACCTACAGCAAGGATGCATATCCGAACGAATGAAGCCAAAATCTAGGCCTGATCCCATGGCCAGTCTCTGCGCTAGAGAAGGCACGAGTGTGCTCAAGCTCCATCCCATGGTGGCGGGGCTAAGCTTTTGCACTGGAGGTTGGCTTGCTTTCTGGGTGGAAGGTTTAGGCTTCCGGGTTTTAGGACTCTGTTTTTAATGTTTTTAGGAGACTTAGGGGTTCAGGGGTTTCGTGCTTTAGGGATTTAAGGTTGGCGGGTCAGGTTCAAGGGTTCAGGCATTTGCCAGTTGAGAACGGCTTTAAACGCTCGAGAATGGCTTTGCGGGCTTGGGGTTTCGGTCAGCTCTTAGGAAGTAGGACGAAGAAAGACGTGACGAGACTACACACAGGAGCCTTCGTCATACGATCGTGCACACCAGTCACGAAATTTGGAGTTTCACTCGCAGCGGACACATGCAAGGTTCCTCTGGAGCGTTCATGGCAACACCGATGCTGTAGCCATCGGAAATTCAGGACAAAGGTTGCTGTGAACACATGAGGTCACTTTCTAGTTTCTAGTGCTACATGACATGACGTTTTGAAGCCGTATAAGTGGGGGACCGGAAAGCGGTCCCTGACTTGACGAGCCCAAAAGAGATGTGAAACAAGTCATTCCTGGAGCCCCGCACTGGCTCCTTGTTACGAGGGGGGCCTGGGGGGTGTTACAGGATTACGGGATCGGTCCCCGTTCCTGTTACGGACATCCAGTTCCCATTACAGCACACACTCTGGCAGCAGGAAGCGGCGACAAGCTGCGCATGAAGACAGATCACAGTGTTACTTTCCAGGAGCGACACCGTGAGAAGCCACTGCCGATGCCGAAAGAGCTTTGGCAGAAGTTCTTGCTAGCGCTTGGCCGTGAGTCGGTCTTCAGGTGTGCGGCGTGCCCAATCTGCAAAGACGAACATAGTAGCAAATGGGCTTCCCTGTCTTGGGACCGCTCAGCCGCTGCCCAGTTTGTACGATCCGCCAAGACGAGGACTCCGACATGCACAGGCGGCTGCTGCGACTATCTACTTTGTGCCTGTCTTAACTCTGCTGCACCTGCATTGCACACATCGCGGGTTACTTACTCTTTCCAACACTGGCTCCGGGCCTACTCGCGAAGAACCGGAATAGACCCGAATAGTGGGTCATCGGGCGTCTCTCCAAAATTATTCGATGCATGTCGGGCCCAGGGTGAAAAGCCGTCTCTGAGCACTGACAAGAGGCACAAGTCGCACAGGGTCATAACGTGCAAGAATGTGGTACCATATCGCACCATCATATCCGACCATATCCGACTCCCCCCCATCCCCCGGCAATGGAACTGACAGGAACCCGGACAATGTAGAAGACAGCTTCCTGCATTTCTACGCTTCCCCACCATCCTAGGGGGGATGCACAGGCCACCTCCACTTTCAACTTCGCACTCCACTGTCCGTTTGACGTCCTCTGGAAGGTCAGGTCCTGGCGAAGGCCGAGAACATCGATGAAGCTCGACAGACACCGGATCTCAGAAAGCAAACTCGTCACTACAATCTCGTCTGAAGTTGGTCCTAAAAGGTTCTTTGGACTGCTTTTCACAGCGATCTGCTCAGCATAGGGCACATGCTGGTCTGATTGAGACAGCCGAAGGAACCCAGCACGCTCCTCCCGCCAGCCGTCCCACGCACCGCGCGCAACGACTTTCGAGGCGGCTTCATGCCAAATGATGTCGAACTCCTTGCGCAATTGCTTGGCTTGGCCACCTAGTCATTAGCAAATGGAGAGGATGCACTAAAGAGACCATATAATTGAAATTGACCATCAGTTCCAGTGTTGCCGGCAATGTGCTCCAAGAGTGAATATTTTCTTAATATTTTCTTAACAGCCTCAAGTAGCTCTAAACTCAGGCCACAAACAGGGCGGTTTCAGCAAACTGTGCGCGGCGATGTGCTCAGCCAAGGAGTTGAAGTTCTAGCGTCCGAGGTGAACCTTTAACTCTTTCACCGAACATGTGGACTCACCCGCGAGAAAAGCAGGAAGTTAATGTCGGCAGAATCCATGAAGATGTCAGCAGTAATCAATGCACAGTGCCTGAGGCTCAGGACGCTAGCGGGATCTTCAATCATGTCTCGACAACTGTGGGTGCCAAGTGGCCTTCGCTCAGCTTCCCAGAAACGCATAACATTCACTCAGGTTTGCCAGAGAAGGCTGCAAGGAGACCAGGAAAGCAACAATCAATGTTCGGTGGGCTCTGCCAACAGTGGCCGACAGTACACAACAGCAGTACAGGCTGCAATCGACAACTGCAAGACACTGCTTTCCTTCTCGAACTCGGGCGCATCTGCCCGGGAAGCCTCTGCTGCGAGCTCGAGACCATTTATGTCCACCTTGGATCAGGCAAAAGCCAGAGACGACATGAAGCAATCGAGCAAAGCCTGGTTTACCAGAGTCAAGCGGCTGCATCGGCATGGGGCGACTGCGCGTACAGCCTGCAGGAGGCGTTTTTCGGTTTAGCAGACTACGGCCTCTCTGCGCCCGAGCACAAAATCGTCTGGACTCTTAACCGTTTTGGCTTCTGCTCTGTCTGGGTTCAACTCCAGCGACGCGAAACTGCCTGCGCTCACTCACCACCGACGGATTCGCAGGGAACAGGTCGTCATAGCCACGGACACTGCCGGCGCTCGCACAGCTGGCCGCAACAATGGCCGCGTTCGGCAAAGCATCCCTGGCAGATTCAATGAGCGGAAAGCCGACAACCACGAGCCCGATCGGCTAAAGCGTCATACCCGGCATCGAACTGAAGTTTGTGGTGTTTGCGTGATTTCTAGGCAGCAGCTTCTGCCTTGGATGACGCTTTTGTGCAGGTGTCTGGTTGTCCTCAGTCAGTAGCCACCAGAAATGCAACTAATCAATCCTGCCACAGCCCGTCATATGTGCTTTCACCGACACCAACAATCCGTGCTTCCTGCACAGCAAGGAGGACAATCAGACTTGAAAAAGCTGGAAGCGAAGTGAAGCCAGGTAGCGTGAGTACAATCGAAGAGGAGCGCAGGACAGTGGCGTGGGAGAAGGGGCAGTGCCTCTCGTGCCTGGAGGCGCGGGCCCGGCTTCTAAAGCGAGTCAGTCTCTTGCTAGCCCAGGACCTGTAGCCTAGTGCTCTGAACTTGGAACCGGTGGCTGGTGCAGCGAGCAGGGATCGCGATGGGCACTTGCTGAAGTGTTTCCTGACGCTTGCAATCACATTCCCCCACATACACACAGAGAGCAGGACATATCTCATGGAAAGGTCATTCCTGGCACGACGCCGTAGAGAACTTCAGAAAGGTCTCGCGACGATAAGTCGCTCACCCATTCCTAACCAAAAGGCAAACATCATCCGACTGCAACCCCCAACCTTCAGCCCGTTTAGAATGCTTCCAGGTCGCTGTTCGGCGGTAGGTGCAGCTCGGTCCAGCGTCGGAACTGGCGACAGGGCTCCGACCGGATGGCCGTTCCACAGCGGGCTCTCCTGGAAGTTGAGACGCGACAACGACCGACCATGAGCAATAGGGGCATGGCCTCCCACTGAGCTGAGACAGTAAGAGTAACACTCCCAGACGCTTGCCCTCCCAAACCACTCCAGCTTGTAGCCAAGATCATGAGGGCTGTCGCACTGCATGGCCTGTCAGGGCGCAGGGTTCGTGGATCACCAGTGAGTGTGGCAACTCTTGTCGCGCACTTGCACTCTGCACTCTGCCCGTTCGAATCAGCGACTACGGTCTTATGAGGACGTGGGTACAGGCGGGATCTTATGAAGACAAGTCGTGTCTACAGAATTGGCAAAATCGGTTCCGTGAAGGATTGTGGCGAATCAGCGTGAATCAGCGACATCATGCAAACCTTCCCGCCGCAGCAGAGATCGTTAACCAGCTGTGGTGCGAAATTGTGATGTTGAAGCTTGTGACAGACAATGCCCAAGCAGTCTGCTTGACAAGACGTGCCCCGACACTGTGTTGCGTGTTGTGGTATACATCCGTGCAGACTGGCATGTGGATCTCATATGCCGCATGGTGTCAGGTATGGGGGAGGCTACCATCACCAAGCACGACCATCTGCGTCATGACTGCTTTTGAACAGTTGTAGACTGGTTGTAGATGAGCCTTCAATGAAACGTGTCGACCTGTCGGAACATATCGCAGAATTCCAACTAGCAGGCGACGCAATGTCAGCTCTACCTGACACTCTCTTGTATGGAACATGCGCAACAAGCATCACGAGCGGGCTGTGTTTCTGACAGCAAGCGGCAAGAGTCCACAAAACGTGCCTCACGGATCAGCGCATTGATGCCGAGAGTCCGCTGGTACAGGAGATCTGTTTTGAAGTTCCCCGTAAACAGCTCGGCAAAGACCCAGCAGTGGGGATTGGCCTCCGTGACATCTTCACATCTTCGAACTCTTGCACGCAGGGTCTCTGATGACTGGAGGGGTGTGCTCTAATTGGCAGTTGAAGCCGGCTGAAGCCCATCAGCCTCGCGAACACGGGACAGGACGTGCCGACTAACATGTAGCGGAGTTGAGTGCGCATTGTCCAAACCTCGGCAGGGTGCAGAAGCAGGCAATCATCTAGAGGGGAGCGATTCGTTGAGACCAGTGCCTTAGACTTTTGGGCCCCTGGCCTGGACATGGACTCGGACAGGGCGGGACTGTGTTAGCAAATTACATCTGAGCTGGTGTATTGGTGGTGTGGACCCTCGTAGGGTAGCTGAACTGCCTGCTGAAGAAACAAATCGCCAATCAGGCAAGAATCGAACGGCATGGAACATCTTCGCCATTCCCACCGCGTAGTCTGTCATGAAGTCCCACCTGATCTCGTCACGCAGCCGGTGCAGGGCTGGCCAAAGACAGGCAGCGAGGCCCACCATGAGCCACATGTGCTTTGTTGTCCAAGTCGCAGGAATGCAGCGTCCTCCCGGCACTGGCCGTAGTATAGCTTCACCGTGTCAGTCCACACCTATACTTGCAAGGTCTTGATGCTCTGGTTTGCGGTTGCTCTTGAAATCAAGCATGCCTGCCAAGAGCCTCCCTCCCCTCTGCCGTGCACCGTCCGCTACCAAATGTGTGATGGAATATCCCCCTCCCGCGCCTGCCAGCCATCCCTACTAGCTCTCTTGGAAAACAACCACATGACGACAGAAGACCAAGCCCGAGCACACACAGGTGCCGGCGCAAGTACACCATCCGCCAGGAAGGCATGGCAAAGTCCTCCGTGGCTGGCCAATCCTCAGAGACACAGGCACAAGCACATCCGAGCGTTGCAAGCACGGCCAGCATGGCTAGGGTTTGCCGTACAAATCTAGTGACCTAGTGTGTTCTGAATCGGCTCACATCCAACAAGCCCACGAAGCACAAAGAATCTAAGTCTCCTGTCACAATATGCGGCAAAGATGCCATAACCCAGCCATTGTGTGCTACAATGTCGGTGTCGTACCCAAGCCGCTGTGCTGCACCTGGGTCTGCGATGAAGCGGAAAATCAAGGAGCAAGAACGGAGAAACCTGCCCTCGCTGCCATCTGCATTGCAGGCGCTTGGGGTCAGCTTAATACGGCGAAAGTAGGGCTCCACCAGGGCCATGTTGCCATCGCCCACGGGGCCCTTGCGCATCTCCAGCCTGCAATGATGAGGCCAATGAACTTGACTCTGAATGATGGAGGCCTTGTTGCGAGATGCACGACTACATGAGCCGTCATTAGCCAACTCAAATGGAAAGCATTCCACCATGCTCCGTGCACCAACGCCCGCAGCCTTTCGTGGGTAATGGCCCCTCGAAGTGAATTGAGCACATCACCTTCCAAGGCCGCGTAGTGATTCCCAAGGTCCTGTGCCGTGGACACCGCTGCGAGTTTCGGCACCCATGTCGGAGCACTTTCCGAACTTTGCGCAACCGATGTGAGCCTTGCGAGGCTCACAATACATTTTTGGATTGGCACAAGTATCAGCACCCGTCTCGCTTCACTACCAGTAGCGGATCAGGGTGCAGTGCTGTGCCTTTCGACCACATGAAAGCCGGTGCATGCGAACGCAGAACGCCGTCTGTGGTTGCGATGCCTTCCTAACCTAATCTGCTATCGGATGTGTATCACTTAGGCGGGCATAGCGATCCTCCCAAAATACTATTAACCCCGGATTTAGCTGGTCCTCAACGTGCTTTTGCTTTATCTGAAAGCTTCGAGTTTTCAATCCCACACCGGGTAGCTCAAGAGCTGATGTTCTCTCTACCGAAAAAGTCCAGTCCCAGAACCTGCTGAAGGCGGGCGATGTGGCTCTTGAGGCTGCCCAAGTCAGCGCAACAGGCTCGTGACCTGAACAAAACGGTAACAATGGTGTCTTGAGCTCAAGTTCAACACCCAAAGATCTAGACTGCCAGCTGGGGGACACGTCACCAGGGATCACGGCACCGCTGCGTTTGTGCCCCAGGGTTGGAAGAAGACTGTTCCTGGGCTGGGACAGCGAGATGCATGCTTAAGTCGACTTCCCAGATCAGCTCAGGATCCTTAGAGCCTCGTAACACTCTTGGTGCGGAATCCTTGCAGCACCGGCAGATGGAGAGAAGCAATGGTTCTGGCTCTGGTATTGCTTCATCCGGTCTGTTGCTTTACAATTTCCCGGAAATGGTGTCTCGCCATAGATTCCCACTGATTTCCTAACATCTCAAAAGATTTTGAGTCCCGAGCCGTCCAACAACTTTGCGACTTTGTTGTTTGATAAATGATAAGTTTGAGAAACATAAGCATCGAACTCATGTCCTAGTATCGTGGCTGCACACTCTCAGGCTATGGGACAGTTTCAGACCTAAGCATGCAACGAAGGAATGCGGCTGCGAGAATTGATGCACAACAGTTTCCGCTGCAGCGTCGGTCCTGTCGCTTGTCTGTTCGGCAGCAGTCCATGCCTGCAAGCTTGCTGCCTCGTCGACACGGAAAAACTCTCCTTGGTGAAGACAGAGATGGAAAGACACGCTTGAGTGACTGGGAAACATTTGGGAGAGTCAGAGCGGCACAACTGACAGACTAGATTGGCGACACCTGCAGCAACTTTCATTTCCGAGCAGCGTATGTTCAACGCTCCCAAGACATGCTGTCGGATGCCACCGAGAACACGTTCGACATCGCCGTGGTTCTGACGAATCAACGCATCATTTGCAAACGGGGGTCTGTGTGGCTCTTGGTGGCATCCGTTGCTCTCGAGTTGGGTTAAGGCTGTGGGCCCGCTCCAAGATTAACCGTCAAAGCTGGAGCAGAGCCCCACACTTGAAGCTAACCCTGCGAGGGCAGTAAAGTGTCTTTGCAGAGAAACGCCCAAAAAGAATCGCAACTGGGCTTGCCTGAATTTGAGGACCGCCAAAGTTGCCAGTCTTGAGCTCATTGGAGAACCATGCCTCGATGATCCAGAAAAAAAAAGTGCAACTGGAACCTGTGCGCACTTGCTTCCATCTAAGCACGCATCCAGCTTGAGGTCCAGCTCCGCGGCAGCCGTCAGATGGGGGCAAGTGTGCACCTTTATTCCGTTCGGGAATGTTCAACGCATACGTCCGCATAATCTCGACGAAAACCCACATGCCGGATGGTGCTCGGCTCTAGTACTTCCCTACGCATAGAACATAGCTAATTCGTGAACGGACGGATCTTTCGGGACCATTCAAAGCCCTGATCGAACCTCAACAATCCGAACTCCACCTCCCAGCGTGCGTGTGTGAGTGGCAGAAATTTGCAGGGCTCTGCTAGCAGGGAATCCTTGGCTACAATTGCATTGGCCTCTCCGTCTCCCTCAAGACGGGGCCGTGACAATAAATATGTGCACTTTTCCCCACTCCTGCAGTTGAGGGCACCAAAGAGCTGGCTTGATGCGTTGCAAGTGCGACACAATTGGAAAGATCGAACCTGGATTGTTGGACAGGAAGCCCAACACAAACAATTATCGAATGAGGATCCTAGGACCTAGGAACTCGAGGGACGGGCTCTAGGTTGACATCCCATCCTGAAATCGCAGCATGCTTGTGGCTGCTTCAAACTGTCTTCGAGGTGACACCCTTCACATCCCTTCACATCCCTTGGTCGCAGCTCACTCGGCGAGCCCGGTGCTTTGCGCAAGCATCCGACCAGAAGCAATCTGCCTCATTATGATAGGCTACTGAAACAAGCGCAGCTTTGCCGGTAGAGTGGCCGAGAGGAGCCGCAATGGCCAGCGAACCCAGTGCGAGTAACTCGCATGTTGGCCTACCCCAACGAAGCTCCAGCAGGACGCATCTTCGGCCATGGACCGAAGCAGGCTCACATAAACGTCTACATGAAGCTATATCAAGCACTGGCTTTTGCAGCTGCAAACCCCGGAACGCTGAGGATTCATGGCCCTGCTGAGCTCCGCATGTTCCACAGCCTTTGAGGCTCTGAACTCTATCAGAACTGAACTCTCATCCTCGGCTGCCTTTCTTCCCCCGGCGCCCGGCTATCTTTGAAGGCCTCGGACAGCTCTCACGAAGGGCTTTTTAATTTGCCCTCTTCACATTATTTGGTAGCATCGCAGCTCTAGCCCGATCCTTCACTGGTTCGCCAAAAACCCTCTTGGTCCGAGGCCCTTCTTTGCCGGTGCTGAGGCAGGGGCTGAGGCGAAGGCTTTTCGGCTGCAGCGGCCGCATTGCTGCCCTCTCCCGCAGGAACCTTGAGTTAGATGCTCCTGTCCTAACGAAGTGCTAGCCATGAGACAGAAATATCAAAGCACAAGAAAAGCCAAAGCCTCGGCACTCTTCTGCAAAAACTTCTGCGCACTTTGCAAGCGTTTGTCGATCTCGCGATCCTGCCCATGCCAGGCGACTTTGACATGTTTGAACCTACTTCCCATTGCTTGCGCTCTTGGCTCTGGTTTGTTTAAGCAAATGCAGCAAAGGGTTGCATGCAGCTGGCCCGGAGCTGGCCAAACTGCGAAGTCCTTGTCGCCAAAGTCAGACTGAAAGTCCCGATGCGCGAGACGCTCACTGGCCTCGAAAGCAGCTCTGCTAAGGAGCTTTTTTCTGGGTTTCTTGCACTGAAGGGACTCGGTCAACCGAGTTTTGTCGAAGGAGCCTGGTCTGCCGTGGTCTTCCAGCGAGTGGCCGCATCGTCCACCGTCTCCAAGCACAAGACTGGAGTGGTGACGAGGAGAACGAGAGCACAACAGCGACCCCCCCCAACCTTCTTGTCGTTTGCTTCGGTTCCCAGACCTGGGGCTTCCATTTTGGTTGCAGAATTTAAGTTATCACTGTGGCATGCTGCAATGCTCCACGGCTTTTGTGAGCAGGGAACTGCGCAAGCGCTCTTGCTCAATCAGGTCGATTCGCCGTTGTGCCTCCTCGCAGATAGTCAAGGCAGGCTTGTGCCAACGAGCGGTTTCCTTAAGCCGCTACAGGCCATGCAGCATCCCAGCAAATAGGACACGTACTAGCAGAATCAGTTCATTGAAGGAACGGAGGATGAAACGTTATGAAACATTCACAATAAATGGGCGTCGATGCGCATGATGCTGTAGATGCTGTTCTGGACGCTGGTGACGAAGACGACACCGACTAGTAGTAGTAGCAGCAGCAGCAGCAATGGTAGTAGTCGTCGTAGTAGTAGCAGTAGCAATTCCTAGATCGCAATTTTTACAGCTGCCTTTATCATGAGAATAACGGCGGGAGCTAAAAAACGAACATCCCTTCTTCCTGCTTTCCTTCCTTCCTTCCTTCCTTCCCTCCTTCCTTCCTTCCTTCCTTTCTTCCTTCCCTCCGTCCTTCCTTCCTTCCTTCCTTCCTTCCTTCCACCCTTCCTCGCTTCCTTCCTTCCTTCCTCCCTTCCTCCCTTCCTTCTATTCTTCCTTCCGTCCTTCCTCTCTTCTTTCCTCTGTCTTCCTTCCTTCCTTGCTTGCTTGCTTCCTTCCTTCCTCCCTGCCCTTCTTCCTTCGGTCCTTTCCGCTGGTTTAATTGCTTTTTTGTGATCCACCTGTAATGGTTGAGTTAGTTTGATAATTTTGGGTTTCAACCAGACTTTTCTTTTGATCCAAATCTTTGTTGATCCCTATCCCGGGGTCGTAGTGGTGGTTGTTGTGATGGTGGTTGTCATAGCACTGACAGTGGTGATATGCCACGGGATAGGATGAAATGGCGACGGTCTCGCATCTGGACCATCTAGTCCTGCAAGAACTCCACTGTACCTGTATTCATGGGATCCCAAACCACCCCCTCCCCCCACGAAAGCACCCTCCGATTGAAAACCTAAACTAACCACTGAGATCAGTGCTTATGTGTATGTATGTGCACCTAGACGATAGCAAGCCTCCGACGTGGCTTGCAACATAATTTCTTCTGTAGCTGCCTTTCTCGGAGGACTAGGCCCGGAAGTGGCTCTCGGTGACGACTTTGGAAGACACAGAGGCATAAGTAACTCACCTGTATAACTGTGCAGGGCGTAGTTCTCTTTCCAGGGTGCGTTCCGGCAGCGCAAAGCTTTAGGCCGTGCACTGCATTACGGGGTGGGAAAACCGTGTCCTTGAAGGCAAGTTGAATAAAAACCCACCCGGCAGGGCACAGCTTTGGGGCTTGAAGCTGTGAAGCATGCACAAGTCTGTTATGCAGCTACTAAGCTTCAATAAGGGAGCTGCCGACCTCAAGCAACACGCGCGACAAATAAACAGTATTAAGTGCCAATAGCCTTTATTAGCTTTTAACAGGATTTTTAGATGCTACTACATCAACATAAGCTCCCTGCTGACTCTCGTTGAAAACCATGACTGACGAGATCTTCTTTGTAATGCGGGTGGTTATTCGGTGGCGTGGTGTCTTGTGAGGCTATGATATATGTACCCTTCGACCTTGTCTCCTCCTTCTTCAGACAGGCATGTCAAAGTTATGTCGAATCGAACGTTTCCGGTCCGGCCTCGCTTAACGACACCTCCGCCATAGCAAGCTTCTCCCGGAGTTGGCTGGCCTGGGCCTCCGTCTTGTCCGCCTCGAGGCTCAAGGGTGTCGCCACGCATTCTCTAAACTCGCAACATGTCGGAGGCTAGGCCAGAAGTTGCAATCCAGCACAAACCCTGATGGGGTGTGCTTTAAACCTGGTGGCCCTGCTACAGACACAGGCCCGGAGCATAGACCACTCCGAAAGCCGGAACAGAACCAGCGGGCCCAAATCCACTTACACGACTCAGTGCTCGAAACAGTGGTCCCTCTCTCGGGTCGATCGTGACCGATCTTTGCTGCCTTCTCCTCTGCAGTCTCCATTTGTTGTCGTAGCTTGCATATCTCCTTCCAGAGACATGATGGTTGGAAATTTGTCGGTTGTTCGTGTCGTGGTGAACAGTTCAGGAGCAATCCCATGGGCTCGGTCTGAAAGACCTTGACTGGGGATTCCTCCTCTTTGGCAGCATCCACATTGGCCTTCTGCTGGTGCGATGCCTTCCGCTCGAATCGGCAAGGTTGCTTAGCAAGGCATTCTGGTATGTCCACTGGCACCGGCTCGAATGAACGCTACACGTCGGGTGGAATGGGCGGACTGCAAAGTGTTGGAACATGCGGGCTACCTCATCGCGCCATGCAATCAGGTCAAGCTACTGCGGACATGTTGTTTTACACCTCGTCGGCAGTGCAAAGTCTTCCATAGTATAGAGGGGCCAGAAGCAACCTGAATCAAAAAGCAATCGGCCTCAAATGCTCGCCGCTCCGCCTCCTCGAGCTTCTTTTTCAACTCCTGTCCGCTGCTCTATGCGGGGGCACTTCTCAGGGTCTTCAAACTTCGATACCTCTGCCCGCGCATCGGCCGCCTTCCGGTCTGTTTCCGCCTCCACCAGAACAAATGGGACCCAGATGGACCCAAGATGACCCAAGCATCACAGAACTCGACATCCAACCCGCGCCTCGCGTTGTTGCTGGCGGACGTCCTCCGAGATTGCGCATGTCGAAGAAACGCAGCTAACTCCGGAACTGTCCAAGCGTGAAGGATTGCTGCTGGGCGCCTCCAGCTCCTTCTCTCGCTCTTTTTCCAGTTGCTTTTGCCTTGCATGAAACTGCATGAACCATCAGCTTACGAGCTCGCGTGTCTGAAAGCTCGACTGCCTGCCTGCATGAGTCTATCTTACCCAGAATTCGAAACAGTTGGCACTCAAAACTCGGACTTATAGGCGCTGTAGAAGAAGATGCGACGGGCTGCACGGCTACACAAAAAAGTCTCCTTAAGAGAGTCCCAAGGAGCTGCTTGCTCCCTGCTTCGTCTGCAGCCTGGAGCTCGGTCACCAACCTCTCCTTCCACGACCGTGCAGAGTCGTGTGGCGCATTGTGGGTGCAGGCTGGCAGTCCCTGGCAGTCCTTGAGCTTCTGGGCCTTGGCTTCAGCCAGCTGCTCCTGCCGTGGAAGGCAGCGTCGAGGCACGACGCAGGTGGGTGCAATCGGCCATTGCTCCTGAACCTCCGCCGTCTCGCAACGCGTTTGCAAGCCCCGAACCTGGTCTGTTCGCGAACAGCTGAAATCTTTGACTTGGATCTCGAGCTGTCCA